TATTTAGCAAAGATGTACAAACAAAAGTCTAGCTATGTAACTCAATGCTTTTCCCAAAACTCCCCATATTGTTACCTCCTCCCCCCATCCCCCCTTAAAGATGATCCTAATGACAAGGAAAGAGTATTCCATCATGCTGCTGGTATCCAGGAAGTATTGTCTCTGTCAGTGTCCTCCACTGGAAATTCCGACTGATTTTTGGCTTTTCCTAAAACTTTGGCAGTCCTCCCATGGAATATCTTAGGAAAGAATGCCAGGCCAAAGACTCTGCTTTTATGAATTATGTTACCAGGTTTGATATACTTTTATTCCAGAAAAATGGGTCAGCTCACAGATTGGTTTTAGAGGGATATAAGTCCTTTTCACAGGCAGCAGTGTCTGGAACAGGACAAAGCAAATTGCAGGGGGTGGGAGGGATCTCAATTTACAGATTTCAACTAAGCCATGTTGTAAATCAGAGAGCTAGATCCACTGGAGCATTATGCAAAGACTGTGTTATTAAAATTTAGCACTGTAGACAGGGATGTATTTTGGCTCCTTTCCTCTTCAGATTATACATCATCCCTGTCATGGCCAAAATAAATAATTTAGAGCATCATCTTCCAAAACTAGCCAACAGACATATTGCAACCTTATTGTATGCAATTGTATTTTATGATGTAGTACTTAGATTTGCAGACATCAATTGGATTAAAATGAGCTCTGAGTGCCCTAGCCACTTATTGATCTGAGGAAGCTCTTGAAATTAACTATACTAAAACTAAGAGCTTAATTTTTGAAAAGCAACCAAGAATACATGCCTGGAGGCTAAACGGCCAGAGCAAGTCATAATCTTTAAATATTTGGAATTGGTTTTTCATAGCTCTACCAAATGCAATGCACACTATGTAATCTAAAATTCACAAAAATCAATGATAGTTATATAATCCTTCCACTTCACCAGAGATGCACAGCACATCCCAGCAGCATGAAAGCTTTAATTGACTAAATGTGCATGCATGCAGCTTTTGTTTGGTAGTCAGGTGGGACCATATAACTTCTTTGCCCCTCTGCAAAGGGTTGGTCCAAATTCTTAAGGATTATATTTCAAGTGGCCTCCATGGGTACCTAATGTGGTACTAAGTACTTAGGAGGGAGGGAGGTTTAACTATAATAGAAACAGGTACATGGATTTTTATTATTGCCCACTAGTTATTATTTTTTCTCCACTGGTTGAAGTTATTGTTTTTTTCAGAATGTCCAATGTCTTTGCTCATTGCAGACAATTCTACATCAGTATGGAAAAAAAATCCCTGTAAAACTGCAACAATGCGTTATCATCATTCTGATGATGGGCTATGATCAAACAATTCTGCATTCAAGCAACATGCTAGAGATTTTGAAGCCCTATTCAGGAACAGATCTTGAGTAGTCGAGCCTCTTTTTTTAGGCAGCCAAGATACTTAAACCAAATAACTGTCCCTATACTGTGAAGAACACTAGTATTATCATGTTTCAGCATCCTCACAGCAGCTATTCTTGAGGGCAAATATTTAAAAACCCTTTAAGAGGTAAAACTGTGTCCTTGTGTCCTATCTCATTCCTACTATACTGCACCTTCTATAAGGATGCAAGAACCTACTTTCTAACTCCCTATCTGGTGAAGTACTCAATTCTGATTTATACTTAATTATTTTTATCAGACCAGTGCAAATTTATTTCCTTGAATAGGGTTAATTATGTTATTAAGTCTGTAAA